TGAAATTTTTTTTTTTTTTTTTTTTTTTGGTACCAGAGATGGAACTCAGGCCCTTGTGTTTGCAAGGCAGGCACCAGAACCACTGAGCTAAATCCCTGCCCTGTGAATATGAAATTGAGAGAATTATCCTTACTCCCAGTTGAATGGCAATCCACTTCCCTCTGTTGCTCCTCCTTTCAGACTCTACAAGTGAGTGAGTCCAGAGGGAAGCTTGCAGACAGTTACACTCTGTGAACTACTCACTGCCCCATCAACACCCTGGAGAAATGTTCCCTATAACTGATTGTGTTCTAGTGAATATTTAAACACCAAATTGCCAGGAAGAAAGCATTTCTTTTAGCATTTTTCAGTTTCTGTGGTATAATAACTCTCATTGTGGCTGATTGCAAGCTACCAACAGGACAACACTAAACAAGTTCCTTAGACAAGACGTGAACAGTTGGTACTCACTACCTTAGCTCCTGAACACCATTGAGAGGCATAGACCCACCTCCAGTGGAAACAGTGTCCAAGAATGTGCAACTGTTTTGTTTTATCTTCTCTGGCAATAGATCACTTACACTCTTGCAAAATACAAAATACATTTGCCCCTTCCCAACACCCAGCCTTAACCCATTACAATGTTAGGCTTAGGGTCAAGGCCTCTTTCAAGTCATCTATATCAAGTCCAGTTCTGGATAATACTCCTAAAATGTGGTTGTTAGGTACAGCTGCTAAAGTACACAGTTCCTGCTGACTTGAAGATCTATGCACTAAAAAAGAAACAAATGATTTGCCATTATCATACCCACCATACACCAGTGAAATCCAGCCAAGATAATCTAATAGATACTCTGGTCAAAAAGTGAGAAGATATGAGGTATGTAACAACACTTGGTCCATAGCAGTTTTGAAATCCAGCCAAGCATGTCACCAGCTCCTTGATTAGGCCTAGGACTACTCCTGAAAATTATTCTCTCTTGGCCCTGCTCTCTGGGCTCTTGATTCTTACTCCAAGTCATCTTCTTTGCACAAGAATTGAGCCATTTATCATATCTTCTCCTCAAGTCAATAATAATTGCAATATCTTAGTGAATCATGCTTACAAATAATGTTTGTAAATACATAGGTAGATACATGCATACATATATAGATAACATATATGACTGACAGATAAGTGGAATGTTTTTACCTAAGTGAGGCCTGCTGTACACAGTGGTTTGCCCCACTGCCTTCTACCCTTAATTGTATATCCTGGAGTTCATTTCCTAAGAACATTTGTAAATCTACCTCTATTTTTCTTTCCTAGCTCAATTTATGACTCATTCCCCACCTCAGTGGAACTTTGATAACGTCTCTCTATTACACACTTCCACAGTCCTGGGCTTTCTCCTTTTAAAGCTAATTGCATTCAATGATATTCAGCGATAACAAGCAGTTGTATAAGGTCCACACTTATTACGTGACAGACATTATTCCAAGACTTTATGTTTGCTCACTTAACCCCGGCAATACTTAGGTACCACTAGGGTGTGTCACTTCCCAAGGGCCACACACCTAGAGATAACAGAGCTAGAGTCAAACCCAGGCCCTCTGGTCCCAGCGTCCATGCTCTTTGTCAGCTTTCTATGCTTCCTCTCACATACTGCCTCCACCCAGTGAGGGCTCAATGTTTGTTTTTTTCTCCCTAGACCTGACTGAAGGGTAGGGATAGTGTTGCTGTTGTCCAGTGTCAAATCCCCTAGTAGTTGCTCCATAAATATCTGTGAATTCAGTGCCAATTATGATGCCGTGTTCTAGATATTCTCTACTATTGGTCATTATGCCAAGCATTTCACATGTATTTTCTCGATCCACAAATTGCAGGATTATTACCTCAGAGGAGCAAACTGAGGTGGAATCTAGGTTGAATTCAGGTCTGTCTGACTCCGGTGCATGGATGCACTTAACCTCTGTGCCAGGCTCACCACTCTTGCTGAAGTTCACCAACCTCATCCCCTTCTGCAAGTGCAAACACTGAGCACTCAGAACCAGCTCGTGCTTCTCTAGCAGGCTTGCTACCATTTCTACTATTCAAAATAGAGAGTTAGAAGGGGTTTGTTTAATATTATTGCTATTATTACTATAATTATCAAAGAAGTATCTTCCACTCCCAGAAGTCCATTAGCTCTCAGTGCAGTTAAATGTTAATACATCATAACACACTAAACACCATCTCAATTGTCACAGAGAATGACACAAGACAGCCAAATTCCTGAAAAGTGTAGAAGGTATACGTGTGTCACTCAGCCAGTCTTAATACTTTAAAGTCTTAAATTTGGGAAAGGGGGAAATCCTAGAAATACATTCATTGAGGTAAGGCTGACTAGTTCACATTTACTGCAAATCCAGTAGACCGGTTTCCCCATCGAGCATAATTGAACTTGAAACATCACAGGTGGCCTGTAATAAGCATGGCCCTGGCCCTGCCACCTGGCTCACAGTGCCATGGTCTCACACTGCCCTCTGCAGTCCAACTGCATTCTCCACACTGTTCCCTCAACCAGTCCACAATATCAAAACTTGGGAATCTTCCACATTACTGCTCCTCCAGATTTACCACTACTACTTATTTTTGGTCTGGTGACAAAAAATATAATAAAATACCATTTAACTTTCCACCCATACAGGTACAGTATCAATTCTTATTTGTTCCCCTAGAGCTGATGCATTTGGAAAGCACAGCTTTGGTAGCTCATTCAGAACATTCTTTTCCTGTAAGAGGACAAACCCAGGTCCCCCAGACCAGTCTGATTTGCACACCCTGAGTTCTCCCCCAGATCATCTCCATTCTACAATACAGCATGCAGCCCCTGAAGAGAAGATAGGTGCTGTCTAGGTAAAAAAAACATGTTGAGTCAAGAGAGAAATAATCCAAAGGAAAGAAACACAGGGCTCTGCAGGCTCAAATTATCATCCAAGAAGAAAAATCTTTAACAGATATATGTACTGAAAGAACAACAAATACCTGTCCTAAAACCCAAAATAAATACATTATTGAAGATTAGGAAAAATTTTTTTCTAGTGTACTTCTTTTGGAGTTTAAATAATATGTCGGTATAAGGGGTGTGTGTGTGTGTGTGTGTATGTGTGTTTGTGTGTGTGTGTGTGTCTACGCTCTCCTAGAAAATTTTGTAAGTTATTTGGAAAAAGTCATTATATTTCAACATCTAGTACTCCAAAACAGACAGAATAAATCCCCTTGGCAAACTTACCACCAGCCTGCCAGATGTTCTTAAAAATCTTCTTTCACGCTGCCCCCTCAACACATACACACACACACACACACACACACACACACACACACACAATTATAATCACCTTGCTAATGCCTTTGTTCTACAAAGTGCTTTCTTTTCTGAAAATTCAGCTCAAGACCACAGTTAAACTATTCCAAACCATTTTATGTCAAGTTCTTGGGCTTTTTCGTAACTGGGCAAAGTTGACGCTGTTTTTTTGAACTATGAAGTTTGAAGATAAATAGATGAGAATTTGATGGGGGTGCAAGGAGACCTTTATCTGACAAAGAGAAAAGATAATGCTCAGGTTTGGAAACTTCACAGGTGGAGTTAAAGAGGACTTACGGAAAAGTTCAAAATACCCAAAAAGTGACATCTGTTTGCTTCCAGCTCAGGTTCAGGCTCCTCAAGGTACTCAAGGTTCTTCTATTTCTGTCCAAAACCAGCCTCTCATAACTTCAACTTCCCGCTGCTCCAAGCAGGGATTCTCCAGCATCATTACTCTATTTCCACTCCTCTCTTCTTCGCAGCACTCACTTGTCCATTTCCGTAACTGTGTCTGTCCTGGAAGAGATAGTGAAAAACCCTTGTAGATAATGA